TGTGGCCCATGAGTCCACAGTGTGAATAGGTGGGTCGTCTTTGACCTTGAGTTAGGGCAATGAAAGAACCAGACCCCGCAGCCGTCTCTGCGCACGCGTCGAAGCTGATCGCACGGTGCTGTTCTTTTTACACCACCAGCGAGAAAACCTTCAAAATGGAAGGGGAACATTCCATCATCAGGATTTGAGCCCTAACAGCAGCGTAGGAAGGATTCAAACCCACTAAAAAAGTCATCACAAACTCTTGCTCCTGATAATCATTCTATGCCTTCATGTTTCCACAATGACAGGTTGGTAAGTTTTGAGCTCCTCCCAGATTGTTTTCATCCGCGTATAATAGATGTTGATGCTGAGTGACCCTTGAGCAAGGTTATTCATGCTCTGTTTCAATTGGTAGATACGCGGTGCATTGCTCTGCTGATAACGAAGCCGCAAATTGGTCTAGATAGATTGTGCATTTTCATGGTATAACAAACTATCAGCTATCTCCTTTGTTATAGCATTCAACAACCAAGAAGTTACCATGCTATTACAACGTGACCAAGCTGCGACAGTGGAATCAGTGTTGCTCGGTTGATCGTAGGTTCCGTCTATGAAACCCAATTTATTTTTGGCGTTCAATGCTATTCTGATTGCTCTCTCCCATGTATTGTAATTATTGTCATTGAGAAGGTTGGATACCAAGACTAACTCATGATGGTCGGTACTATGAAGGAAGAACGGGTTTTGGGAATCATCTGATTGCTCTCTAGCCATTAAAGATTAAATTTTGAAGCTCAATCACTGAGCTAAAAAAAATATTTGATTAATCAATCCGCTATGATACCATGTTAGAAAGGAGAAGAAAGAGCACAATGAAGAAGAAAAATTACTCTGATTCTTCTGATTGTATTCATTGACAGCCAAAGAAAATATATGCAGCTTTTGTTGTACAATGGCAGAGAAAAAAAAAAAACAAAAACGGTTACAATTAACATACTAATTTCATCATATCACTAATTAAGTTTCTATTTTTTTTGTTTTAAGTGTGCTTGAAATAATATTCAAAACCCGCGTATAATGTGTAAAGATTAAATTATTACTTTTAATTCAATAAAAGAATAAATTCATAATAATAAAAATATGAATTTTTTTATGTATTCTTTTAAAGGGTTACAATCTCAATTTAAATAGTCAAAATATTTTTCTTTCTCAATTTAAAATTAGTTTAAATTGAAAGAATCAAACTTTAACCAGTAAGAACAATCAATTCTACAATGGATCAAAAATATGTTTCCGTTAATTTTTTATTTATTCTCATTAAATTAATATAGAAGGTGATTCGTCGTCGATAGAATGTAATTTTTAATGTTAAATGCAGTATCGTCGTCGATAGTAACACTAAATTTGACTTACATTGAGGTAATAGAGAAATAATTAGAGAAAGAAAATTTTAAAAAAATTTACGAGAATTGAAAATAGAGATACAACGAATGCTCAATTATTTAAAAACGACGAGTATAAATTTTTTCTCTTTGTGACATTACAAAGAGGTACTAACAAAGTAATTTATTGGATTTTGCATGAATCACAAACTGCTTCTTGAAAAAAGGTTCCAATTTCAGCAAGAACTGAAGTATGAACTTTGGCCAAATGATAGGTAGAAAGCTCTAGTAAGGATCATCAATTCGTAAATATCAACTATGCGTGCACGTAGATAGATACAATGTATATATGGGTATTAGGTTAAAATCTTGTATCTATCTCCCTTCGTTTCGGCCCAGCTAAGACATTTCTAACCCAAGCCCATTTTTTTCTCAGAACTCAGTTCAGCCTAACGATCTTTCTTCTTCTGGTTCCTCGATCAGCAGAAAGAAGGGTCGGTGACGATAGCCAGACCGAGGAACACGCGGACGGGGGGTGAAGAAAGGGCAGGGGGAGCTAGTTGCTTGGAGGAGGAAGAGTGTGATTCGCTCGATGTGAGGAGACGGCTGAGATTTGAATAGAGGAGAGGGGGAAGTTTGGATACAGTCGTCTGGAGAGGGTCCTTGTATGTTTTGAAGGTTAAAATGGAGGAAGGGAGAGAATGGAGAGGGCGGGAGGGAGGCCTGGGTGGAGGGGATTCTAGGAAAAGGGAGAATTCAATCTTCTCTTTGATTTGATTCGAGAGGTTTTGATTTGGGAAGCTAGGGTTTTGTTAATGGGGAATAGAAGAGAAATGGTCGAGAAAGAAGGGATATTTAAACAAGAAGAATCAACAGGTCGCCATTGTCTTCTGGTTTGAGGAAGCAAGAGAACAGAATTTGATTAACATTACTAAGTTTGGGGTACCTGTTCTTGTCCCTTATTATTTTCTAAGTTCCTTGTGTATATATACATTTGATTTGAATTTGAATCTGGAGTTTTCATTAAGAGTTGATTGAACACCAAAATGGGTAAATTATATATGCAGTTGATTTCATTTGATTAATCGGATTAATCTGTGTTTTACAGTAATTTGAAAGGTTGATTCCCTTTGATTCATGGGGTTGTGTTATTTGCAGAGATGGAGAAATCCCAAGCTAGGTTACAACTTATAATGTATAAATTTGCATTGTAACAAGTTTCATTGAAGATTAAAATTTCTTTGATTATATATATATATATAAATATATATATATATGATGAGAAGGAAACATTTACATGATCTGGGTAGGAAATGGGAGATGCTACAATCCCCACAAGTACATGATTGAAGTTTGTGGCATAAACTATGACAGAAAATCTAAGCTCTGACAGATGTGTCCAATGGAAGCTTGGTGGTAGGGTAACCAACTTCCGACTTCACCTCCGCCTCCCACAGCTCCGGCAATGCTTCCTTGATGTTATGGATGCTTTCTAATGCATAATCTGCACCCTTTACTCTCTGCGAGGTGCCAACCTACAAACAACATATACATATATATATCATCATCACTCAGCATAAAAGGAAGCATATATATAGTAAGCTTCGGAGGAGTTAGTTACCAGGACAGTGTGAAGTCCCACACGGTTCCCAGCCTGTATGTTACGGACACTATCTTCGAAGAACAACTGCAGGGGCAAAATTATGTAGGAATGAAATTTCAATAGCAAAATCTTAAGTCAATGTGTGTATAAGCATGTTGGTATCCAAAAGATTGAACTTACTGTTCTCTGAGGATTGATGTTGGCTATCTTGAGAGCCTTGTCTATGGCATCCTCATTTGGTTTGCAGACAATAGGAGTTTTGGGTAGTGCCACGGCTCGGTTAGGCTGAGCAAAATGCCCAAGTATATCGAAAATTTCGCCACTTTGAACATCATTTTTGGCAGGAGGAGCTAATCCCACAAATTCAATGTCATCCTCATCATCTGAAACACTGGCTTTGTGGGTAGGATTCAGTGTCTCAAAACAGATAATTCCCTCAAAACAATCCTCTAATCCAAGCTTGCTAAGAACTTTAACTGAATGGATCTTGTCCGCATTTGTGAATATCTATTTATAAAAACAAAATACAGGTTATGAGAAACGAGAACCAAACCCACATGGCCTATTTGTATCTGTGTCCAGTTATAAACCAGTACTTACAACTTTTCTGTAAGGCAGACTCATCAATAGACTCCTCAATACAGGATCTGGTTTTAAGTTCTCGTAAGGTAGTCTCCCATGAACGAAACTGTTAAACAAGGAAAATGAAAGGTTAATCACAAGTATAACTGCATAATCTGTGAGAATAGAATCTTCAAGCTGAAGGGAAGAACTAAGAAGAAGATGATGAGATATATAACATGAGAAACGATAAAAGTACCTGTGGTACTCATCGTAGTCAAAGTCGTATCCAATTGCCTGCAAATCATAAACCCGCATAAGTCAGGACTCAAAGAAACAACACCTCTGTTTGAGAATTGACAAAAAATCCTACATACCCTGAGGCCAGCCATTGTTGTCCCGTAATTCTTGTACAGTAAATTTGACAAGTCAACAATGTTGCTCTGATCTATGCCAAGCCTTTCAACCATATAATCTACATATACATAGTAATTTTAGAATCTGCAAAACCCCAAAAATAATCACTGGATCAAAAACTCGTACAACTTACCCTTGATGTTCTTCCCACATTCTCTGGCAAGACCAGAACTAACGGGATAGAGAGTATCGTCTAGATCTGCAAATCCATTCAAATATCAATTAGATTGGTGTGGTTTTGATGGTAGAGTTAATCGGAAAGGAAAGGAAGAACAATTTACCAAATAAGAGGCAGTCGTACTTTGGTGTCTGTGTCAATCCGTAGCGGTCCTCAAATTCCATTTTTGGTGAAGTAAATTATAATGCAGCGGATCAATCAACCTTGAAATTCGGTTTAAACAAATCGTTAGTTCCTCAATCGACAAATTTTCATGGCTGATAAATGCGTACACACACACACACACACATATATATATATGTATTGTCTTTTTTTTTCTAACAAAGACCCCTTGCCGACTCAGATTACCACAATCAACAGAGGAATCCAAGTGATAAGGATAAGCCTCTTTATTTAGTTCATGAACTGATTAATCACAACCACTAGAAACAGAAATTCATTGAACAGGCCCTTCGAAATTTGAACATTCATCCGGAAGAACTAAGAATCCGCTTTAAGCTAAAAAGAAAAAAATAGCTGTATCGCGAGACGGATTTCCCCGCAAAAAGCAATCCCATACGCAGAACAAAAATTTCAAAGGGAAAAAGTTGTACATTAAACGATCCAATAAAAAAAAAAAAAGAATCATCGACGGAGGAGAAAATGCAAGAAGAGAGAGACGAATAGAGAATCGAAAAGGAATATATCTTTACCGGAATCAAGAAAACCAGTAGAATCGCAGAGAGGTTTTCAGAGGAGGAGGAGGAGGAGGAGGAGGAGGAGGGGGGGAGGAAAAAATGGAAGGCAGAGAAGGGTTTATATAGGCCAGGGAGTTGGATTAATTTGAAAATTAATTAAAAGATTACTTTGAAGACTAATCACGTTTAATTTATTTGGTTAAATTAATAATAAATAAAATGCTGACTTCTAACATTATTGTTGAGAAGGTAACAAGGAAACATCTAACTTTTTTAAAAAAATATATATATATATATACATACATACATATAAATATATATATCTATGTGTGTGTATATGTAAGTTGTATTTTGTGGAATTTCCCATTTGAATTGGCTACAATTCCTTATTACCCTCTCAAAATACAAATTTTACCCATTTCTCAAAAATGATTCTCTTAACCTTTTAGTTTCTGTAGCACAGAGTAAAAACTCGGTTCGAATCAAAAGTTCGGATTAAATCAATATTTCAGATAGACGTATCGGACTAAATTTATATACGATTTATCGGTTGGTTCGGGAGATTAAAAATATAAAATATTTTAAGTATGCTTTTTTTTTCTTTTTCTTGATGTTTTCAATTGGGCGTATTCCAAATTTTTGTTCCTTGAAAATGCATTTTTAGTTATTTTTAGTTCTGATAAAATATTTTCTGACTATATAAATTAATGAATATAATAGAGATACAATGAACCTAAAAAGTGATCATAATTACGTGCTTCTAATAATATGTTGTAGGTTAATTTTAATCCATTATTGTAGTTTAATCCTCATAATTGACGCGTATAACAAAGAAAACTAAAAACTTTTAAGTGAAAATGAGAGGATAATATCTTAAAAAGTGATTTGCTATCGAAAAAAGCAAAGTGTCGGTATAATTAATTAGATATACTACAGAAAAAAATATTTGTTTCTCTCAAAAATGAAATTGGTAAGCTTGTTTGATACTGAAGGAGCTAGCAACTGCTGATAAGTGGCATGCTTGGGTTCTCCTTCGTTTTGTTGAGGAGTGCTAACACGTGAAGTTTGATGTAAAATGACTTAAGTATGAAAAAGTTGTCGTAACAAAGAAGAATTACTTGAAACTATCAGATTTATGAGCTATAAGATACGTCCAAATAGTATGTGAAAAATCTTCAACAACAATGAGGATGTAAAAGACACTAGAATTACTTGAAACTTTGTAAACATCCCGATATCATAATGGATTAAACTAAAACAAGTATCGACATGTGTTCCGTTGACAAGGAACTGATTTCTTGTTAATTTTGCGTGTTGATAAATATCATAAGAGTCTAGTATGTCACTAGATTTTTAATGAAACTGAGAAGATAAATAAAACAAGAGATGAAATAAGGCTTGACAAGACTGTTGATATGATCAAATGCTCTCAACAGAAGTAGGATAAATGTGTGCACTAGACTTCAGGTAATAAATCTCATCTCTCATTTCACAATAAGTGGATTATACAACATTTAAGAGATGATATCTAGTGAATTTATCAACAAACAATAAGTGACTTTTGAACTTAGGTATATATAAGTAACATTCTTGATGATAAGGAGCTTGGAGACACTTTCACGTGACGAACATAAGAAATTAAAATAGAAAACTTATTACGTAATTGAACAAGTAAAGGGTGAGTGAGTGAAGTGGAATAGAGGAACTTAAATGAAGAAGATATGATATGATCAAATGCACCACTATCAATTATCCATTTAGAATCATGATTTTCATTTGGAAAGATCTTATTGTTTACATGAACTTGACCATCTTGACCAAGGTTAAGAAGAGAGAGAAGTGATTGACATTGTTTTGCTGTGAGCACAAATGGTTGTTGTGATTACGTATTGTCATTATAAGGTTGATCGATAGGCACACAAAAGATGATTTATTCATCTTTGGCTTGAATCACATTGTTGGCGGTTGAGGAGTGTGTTGATCATTAAAGACCCCATTAAGAACTACAATAGCATGACTAATACGTGAAAATTGGTTAGACCAAGGCTTTTGTCCAAGATAATTAGATGTAGTCAGTGTTTGCCGATTAGCAAGATAGTTGATGGGTTTAAAGCTTCCATATATAAGATGACTTGGTTTATAGCAATATATACAAAGTTTTTTGGATTTGGAACGTGTGTTAGCATTACTTCAACAAAGGCAACAGTCTCACCAACATGTTTAGCAGAAAAATGTAATAGTTGTTTCTCTTCTTGAGTGATCAAGGCTTATGTATTAAAAAAAAGTAGGTAAAAAGTTCACTGTTTAAGATTTAAGAACGCATTATATTAAATATGTTATTAAGTTAAAGTAAAGATCAGCGTACCTTTCCTTGTTCACATTTAAAGAGAAATTTCTTAGTAACACCATATTAAAATGGAGAACCATATAATAAGCACGCAATTCATCCCAAAGTCCCTTTAACTTGGTATCATTAATGGCGACATAATAATTTTCTTGTTACAAGAGGAATAATGTTAGTTTCAGTTGCTAAACGTGTGATACATTTTCTTGATAGACTCTTTCTTCAGGATTGATCCATATTTCATAGACTCTCTATATAGACTAGATCTCTTTGTAGTTCTCTATTAAGTGAATTAAATAGCCATGGTATCAATATAGAATTATATTTCTCCCATGCATGAAAAATTGGTGAGTATACTAAAGGCTTCAGGGGAAAAAAAACCATCAACAAAACAAAGTTTGTTTCTAGTACGAAGAGCATCGATAATAGCCTTTTCCCAAGTGAGATAATTATCTTCATTGAGAGGATTTGAGACGAATTTTTCTTGGATCATCAAAAGAATTTTTTTTTCGAAAAAGAAAAAGAAAAAGTGAGAAAGGATCAAATAGAATTATAGTTAAATATTGAAAATTGTTTCTGTTGTTCATGTTAGAAAATTTCAGTGGCAGGTTTATAGCCAGAACCTCATTTAGTCATGTCGGTTAAGTATTGACAAATTTTTTTTTAAAAAAATAAGATCGATGCTCTATAAAAATTATATCAACTCTGTCTATTTTATTGATTTGATACGAATATATATATATATATATATATATATATATATATACACACACACAAGATAAGAAATAAATGGTTAAAGATATAGTAAATCTCCTAAAGTGATTCCTATTTGAATCTATTTATACGGACGTATTGCTAAAGTCATATCTTATTTGTATTAAAACAATAAAAGACTAAACATTGAATTTAAAATTCCATCAAAAATTTTAATTTCCTTTACAAAATTTATAATATATTATTTTAAATTCATATAAAATTTCATATGCCTTCAAATTTTTAATTATTTTAGATAGAACTATCAACACTTATGTAATTAAAATAAATATAACTTTACAAATAAATGAAATTTATTTCGAATGTAGTTACATAATTTCATATAAAATCGAATTTTTTTTCTCAAAAAAAAAAAGTTAAGAGCATTTTCACTATATTATAATTAAACTAAGTATTATGTGAAATTAACAAGTAACTTGTTGATGAACATGCAATAAAATATCTACTTTATACATATATATGTATGTATGTATGTATGTATATATAAAGAAAAGGTTGCTCATCAATCTCCTCATGTTATGTGCATATCAAGTTGATGATTAGTAAAAAAAAAAAAGCAATGACAATAATAATAAGATCAAACCAAACTCAAAACTAATCCAAAGAGTAATCAATTATGAGATATGGGTCCCTCAATATATGTATATATATATATATATACATATATATATATACACATATATAATGAGATTAAGGTGTCTATGTCGTTAAGTATATAATTATTGGCATTCACATCCCCTCTTTGTGTTAAGTCCTCTATAATTGAAGGAGGGGAAGACAAAGAACTTACGTTTGTGATCTCATATATATATATATATATATATATATACATATATATATATGTATATATGTGTGTTTGTTGTGTAGACCAATGTCCTTTCTTGTCTACTCAAATTTGAACACACATACATGTAGATCCTTGATAGAAATGTAATATCAAATATTTTAATCTTAATTTGTAACTCACACGCTACTCTTTGCTACCATTCAAATATAATATATGTATATATATATATATACATATACTTACACTACATATCAAATAACAATAAAATTAATGGTAACAATTGGGTATGTAAATAAAATTATTAATTGAACAAAATCGAAAATTTTAAATTTATCTTACTATTTCTAATACCATATGATTTTTTGTGTGGGTAAGATTCAATAATTAGTGAAGTTGCAAAGTCCAAGATTGTTAGAGTTACTCAATTCTTAACCCCACAATACAAAATTCAAGAAGATTAATTTATTAGCAAATAAAAAAAAATACTCATCATTTTCACAAACATATATATGTATGTATATGTATATATATATATAATTACTATATGATGCATGACAAGACTAGAAGTGTTTCCTAAGTTGATGGGTCGTCACCAAAACATAAAATAATTAGAATTGAGTGTGTGGGTATGTATAATATATATATTTATATATATATATATTATATATGTGTGTGTATATGTGTATATAGAAAATGAACATATAATTGGAGCATATGCCGCCATTTAGTGGAGTGAAAAGGACTAACCCAATTATAGAAAATACAAATGGGACATAACTCTTTGCTTTTATATATATATATATATGTATATATATAATTATATATATATAATTTTAATGAATCTAAAGAAGAACCTAATTGGAGGCACTTGCAAAAAAGTACAAGAGAAGTAGATGAAAAAGAGAATTTATAACCCAATTTTTTTTTTTAAATTTTTTTATTTTGACCCTTTAATTTATTGTTTATTTTCCTTTTAAAATATATAAAGGAAAGATGTTTACGTATATGAAATATATATATATATATATATATATATATATTGTAGTAATGATGGTGGGCTGGGTCTCTTGAAAGCACCCTTTCTAACTTTTTCCTTCAATAATTTCAACCCATGGGCTGGCTCTGACTATGACCTTTTTTTTATTATTATTATTAAATCATTTTATATGTATAAACATGTAATAATTTAAATATAATTTTATCTTTCATTACAA